TAGAGTATGATATCGGATAATGAGGTCTAGTTCATTTTTAATGACATTCGACCCGGATACAAGTATAAAATGTGTTTCTTAATCATTTATTTGATATTTTGCAAGGACTAATTTGACAGGTTGATAAACTTCCAAAGGCGGGATTTACAACCTTTATGACATTGGCGGAAAAACTTACGACACTCTTTGTCGAAACATGCTTTTTCTTCGAAAAGAGTTCCCTCACATACTTTCCCTCCATTTGCAGGCCTCGGGTTGTCACATCTTCTTACCCTTTTCATTATTCCAACTGAAATTAATATTGTAATATGCAATGGATATTTCAGGCTAAAATCATACAATTGCAACAAATATTTACTATAACTTTTAGAAATACATTTCGTCAATCTAATGTTTGAATATCAATAGGGATGCTTTATTTCTAAAAAGAAATATTCATTTATTTGTTTTCATTTAAACAATTCTTTTTCTTAAAATGAAAAAAATCTGAAATCGATATGATACAAAAATAGTATCAATGGCATGCACTTGTCTGCCGATTTTATTTTTCTACAATTTATGCGAAGCACACAGCTAAAGCTGGTAAATATGCAACTTCCGGTAGATTTTGTATTTCCTAGTTGAGAAGATCACAGCTTAAGCTGGTAAATACGCAACTTCCGGTAGATTTTGTATTTCTTAGTTTAGAAGACTAGGGTATTATGATGTAATGACGTATATTTATAATACCGCCACAGGTGACCGAGCATTTTGACCACTTGGTCCAGTCACTGAGACCTCCATCAACGACGTCCCTGGTTGTAAATGGTCGAGTCACGCCCGCACCCCATCCCTTAAATACATATATAATTTGTATACGATTTTATTCTCTGTTACAATCATCTAAGATTTTAAGACTATTAACAAACCAAATTAAGCGCATAGGAACGACTGCCATGTGAAAAAATATTTTATTAAAAAAATCGAATAAAAAGTAGCAATAGGGAAAAAATTATCAAAATCTATAGTATTTTTAAGAGAAAAAAAGTATTGATGGTCGCAACCATCTAAACGAAATAAATTTCTCGAAACTGAGGCTATGTCGTCACAAACCCATTTCTATATATACAGGTATGTAATACATTTACTTTATACACATGACGAAATAAGACCCTCAGACAGAAAATTTAATGTACTTATAACATTAAAGCCGAATGTTTGCTATTATATTATGACATGATTTAAAATCAAACAAGAACACAGGCAGGTGCCCGTAGGCATACGATATTATTTCTAAATGTTTGATACACTTTCATTGTATGTTAGGTAAGCAGCGATGTTTTCTTATATGTGAATCTGACCCCAATCTTCATATGGATCTGCTTGTTGTTAAAGAACAATATGCTTCTATAATAAATTACTTACCTCGGGTGGAACAGAAGCACCGTTTGCTGGTATGACGTCATCATACCTCGGAATGTCAGGCTAAAGTAAACATTAAAATTTAACAATAATAATTATAACATACTAAATATCGTTTAAACATTATTGTACCTGAAGGAATTAAAATATCTCGTTTGCTTTAAATTTATTACTTCATGTATTTATCAATTATGTTTTGTTGAGAATTTAATGGCGGGGAAAAGGCAGAAACATTAATGCAACTTCGGATTTAGAATAAAATTGAGGAAATATGCCATACAGATTGTCCATTAATTTGAAATACTCTTGAAAGCGTGCCTTACACAAACGTTTTTTTAATGTTTGGTACATCGTTCATATAGGTAATTCTCTCTGTAAAATATAATCTAAAAACACGGGTGTTCATGTCACTAGTTAATGTATAGACCTTTTTACGACGCGGTCCGTTGCTATGAAAAATCGACCGGAATTAGAATTTTCTCGCGCATGCGCAATCTGCGTAGGGCAAGAAATCGCAATCCGGTCAACTCGTCCCCTGGTCAACTCGTTACCTTTTTGGTCAACTCGTCCCCTACTTTTGGTCAACTCGTCCTCAAAGAGTCAACTCGTCCCTAATATGGTCAACTCGTCCCCTACTTTCGATCTATTCGTCACTTTTATGTTGTAAATCAATGTCTTTAAATAGTTCTTTCATGTAAAATTGATATCGAAATATTAATAAAATAACGTCTTTTTTTACGTTAAATTTTAATGATCTTTATCTAAGCGCACGTGCATAGCTTTGATGTCAAACTACAAAGACAGGTAAGTTTGCAAACATTCAATGATCGGAGTTTTAATGATAATTAAAACTAAAATTAGGTCCAACTCTTTGATTTTTACCGCCTCCCTGAATGGATTAAAGACTGACGACAGATTAACAGAAATTAAAAAAAACTAAAAAAAATTATGTCGGTGCGTATTGATCTCATTATAGAAGGATCGTGTCAATTAAAAACATGATAATTGTTTGTTGTGAAATTGTCAAAATAAAAGTTGCCCTGATAAATATAAGATTTTATTTTTAAAATCACATTTGCGTTGTACGTTATATCAACATTGGATTATTTTTATAGTGCATATTAATCATTTCTTAGAATTCCATATTGTTGGATTATAGACTGCATGTGAACGGTGTATGTGACAATTTTAATTATTTGTGTTGTTGATTGTGACTTTTTTAATTTTTTTGTGTCGTTAATTGTGACAATGTACCCCTGCATTGATTGTAGGAAACATGTGCGGAAGAATCAGCAAGCACTTCAGTATGAGCGAATTTGAGAAATGCCTTCATGGATTCATACATCACCGCATTAAAGAGATAAATATATCTATTATAGTTAACCAGTGCCTATCTTATTGGTATTGTAATATACTTCTATTATTTTATAGGATGGCATAGAAGACTGAATGGGAGGGCTAGGGGAACGCCTCCATTCTACCTTTTGGTAAAACTTCTGTACAATGAGGCCCAGGTAGCAGTAAGGAACTCGGAATTAGTTAGTGAAGGAAGACTTCGCCGCTACCAACGGAAAAATACACCTTTCTCCAGGGACAGACGCACCAGCTGTGGGACAGGAATAGGGAGTTGTCATCAACGGGACTTCTATAAGAGAATTCGGGAACTTATATAAGCCCCAAGAATCGTAAGATGTAAATAAAAAAAGACAATGAGTATGTGCATGAAAAAAACTATGACAGTGAAAGGGAATATATATGACATGATATTGACAAAAAAGACATACTACTCGTATATGATATTTTATCATTGCATATGAAACATGTTTTTATACATTAAATGTTATTGCTATTGATCGTCTTCGTGTTTTTTTCTGTATGTAATTTAATCAGAATTATGCATCTATATATACTTATTATTAGATAAAAAAAACTCCAAATATTTGTAATATTCATACAAAAAGCGTCAAAATATGTCCAAAATCAGTAATTTTATAATATATTATTTTAACAGTCTAATAATTTATGAAATATACGAATAACAAATAATAATAAAATATAGGGGACGAGTTGGGGACGAGTTGACCAGAGGACGAGTTGTCCAAGGGACGAGTTGACCAAAAAGGTGACGAGTTGACCAGAGGACGAGTTGACCAGGGTACGAGTTGACTCTGAATCAAGAAATCCTTCGCCCTACATAGAAATATAGTAAAAGTTTATAGACAATTCCAAGTTAGTTCAAGGTAAACGGTAGAAAATTATATAAAATAGCTTTTAACAAATATAGAAAAGATGACTTTATAGCTTTGTGGCGAAGAATGCCATAAAAAGGCATGAAAAAGATACTTGTTTAAGAATTTACGATCACAGAACTGACACAGATCATTTTTTTAAAGAAGATGTGGAAATACGAGGTATGTTCAAAAAGTTCGTGGATTTTTGCTGTCATTTTTTACTTGGTTCATAAAAACACCCTTAGTGGATATGAATCGAAAGAGTGTCTTTATTTTCAAAAGTAAGATTTACTTTTATTGTTAACTTTTATTTCCTTTACGAGTTATGTGCACTTTAATAACCATGGCAACGCAACATCGGCGCACGCCGAAATTTTCATATAATGTTTAAATATAAACAAATGTTGAAACAAATTAAATGATTGTTTTATGAAGTTAAATACAAGTAATCATCTATTAATATTTAAATGACATAAATCTGACTTTTGGCGTCGTTTGGACGTTGAATAGCTGAACAAACAGGTTTTGAGCAGCAGTAGACAGACGGGTAAGTTGGGAAGTATAAACCCCGTTTAAAAACTAGAAATTCGCTCTTTCGGAAATTTTTACCAATAAATGTGGTATACTCCTTTATATTTTTATGAGGTGATTAAATTAACGAAAAACAATGAGTTTTTGAGCAAGTCTCTTGGTTTCAGGTCGCGCAAGCGATTCAAATACGGCAAATACATGCTCACAGACAGAAAGGGCGACGAATAATTTTAGCGCAAATTGTTGGGACGTTTGTAACGTCAATTGCAAAAGATCTACAGAAGTTCAGACATTATGACAGTTTTGCGAGATGTCCGACATGTTTAATTTCTGCATCGGGTCTATGCATTCAATTCTGACAAAACAATTTAATTAAAATAATATTTTATTTCATTCATCAGGATATATGCGTTTTTACAATAAATACTTGTAGTTATTATTTGTATTTCCTGTATTTACCCTGGTCCGTTTGATAATTAATGCTAGCCGGTGTTCAGTAGATTTACCGCATAGAATAATTGTCAGTTGATAAAATATTTTCTTTATCATCGATAATCATATTGTTTAAAGATCGGACGAGGGCGGTTTCAAATTGATACTTTCAATCAACAATTGAATTAACTTAATAACACTGTCCGTTTAGTGTCTAAATTACCCAAAAATCCCGATAAAGAGCGGAAAGTATGCGGCACTCGGACCTTTATACAGAGAATGGAGCGAATAGATGACCATATCTAGGGTCATCATAGCAAACAGAAAAATGGTTTTGGTATATGATCCGCAGATATTGAACACTAAAAAGAGTACTTTCAGAAACAATGACGCTGGTAAAATGTTTCATTTATATTGCGACGTCACGAGCGTCATTTTGTTTCATCATCAGCGTGCGCCGGATTGTGCACCCCTTGTGATTTGTAACTGTCACATAATTTTTATTTGTAAACATATTGTATTGATTTTTTCATTGTTTATTAAGGATATTTTCATATATGTCTCTTGTAAAATCATATATGCAAATTAAAACATGTGAACAGTAGAGCCGCAGTCCACGAACTTTTTGAACAGCCCTCGTATATCTATTAGCAAATGAAACGTCAGCTTATTTGCTGTTGAAATAGTTCATTTAAAAACAAAAGAAATTATATAACATGAAATGGAGATAAATTATTATTCAGAAAAATATCAGAACAGGTGATAATGCATTTTTAGTGTTCAATATACCTGATTTTATACTTTATCCGATTTGCCTGTGATGCAAACAGATATTTAAACGTCCCGGTTCAATGAACAAACATTCGGATGCCAATCTGTTTGACACTTAAATGCCGCCTGACCAATACAGTTATTGAAAGGAAGTGTACAATACAAATTGTGTAATATTATGTAATACAAGGGTAATAAAATTTTATCTTTAACACCCTGCTGTTTCAATTTAAATTACTGATGGAAAAGTCGTCTAATGATACCTTAAACAAAGATATGTGTGTGCCCGTTTTGACCATTGAATTATTACTCCCGCACATTATCGTAGATCTCTTAAAAAATTAACGTTTTTTGTACTTACCGCCTAAAGTCATCCCAAAATTAATATTTTTTGGGTGACATAACATGAAACAGCATCTATTAAAGCCTTAAAGTATGATAAACTGTAGACATCGTTATTGCTTTCTGCCCTACGCAGAATGCGCATGCGCGAAATGCAACATTCGTTGCTATGGAAAATCGTATTGTAAAAAGGTCTATACAACTTTAAAAAGAAAATGAGAAACGAAGGCAAAGAGTATTTCAAAGCGAGTGACAAAATCAAACCTTCGGCATGTTTAGCTTATCCCCATATAAGCGTTGCCTACAGTCAGCGTCGCTCAATGTTCCAGAATCTACATAGATATTTAGATACGGGCATTTTCCGTCGGCGCACGAATTCCATTCTTCGGGAGATCTGTCCTTGACATTGATAAACTTGTAATACAACATCCTATTCCGGGAGATAAAAATAAATATCAAAGACGCCGTAAGCTGTAGTAAAAATACAGCCTCTTTACAAAGTATGTACCACACAAGTTTGATTGGACACAGCCGTACATAACAAAACAACATCCAACCTCACCCCTATCCCTTTCGCGCCCAAAATACATTCAATCTTGTTATTTTGATTGTTTTCTTTTACATGAATATAGTCTGTTTCCTATGAATATTTCCGTTTTATATTATACATGTTTCCTGATTGTTCTAAAGAAGACTGTTAAGTCGGAACAGTCTTGTATACAATGATATAATAAAGAAATCATCTGGAGTTGTCTTTATTATTCAACATTATTCCTGCCTTTTTTCGCCTAATTCACTGTTTATAAATAGTAAACGGATACTTAAAATCCGGTTTATATTTTTAACATATTCGAGAAAATTATATATTTTAATGACGTACCCAGTAGTGTCATCATAATAGTATTTCTTGCCATCTAACTCACTTGATTGCTCATCAAGTTCTTGCAAAGATTCTACCTTTGTAAAGGAGCTCGCGCCATTCAATCTGTGTGGCCAGAAGCTCGATATTCTAAAAGAAGCGTCCCGTGGAAGACAAAATCCAACCCTGAGAACATCACCTCTGACGACAAAATACGGATTAACTTAGGCGGAAATTATTAAATATATAGAGGATATTGAATGAGTGTAGATTTAATACTTATTGAACGATTTGAATAAAATCCCGTTATGCGAGCCTCAGGCAGGTAAATTATTTGTTTAAATATAACGAGATAAAAAAGTAGTATTGAATCTACACAAATATAATAAAATCTAATCATCACATCTCCAAAGTAAGAATGGTTTACAGCAAAAGAGTCATATGCACATAGTGTAACGATAACATTAACACGCTTTAACCCTTTGTTTATACGCTCTTAATCTTATACAGTTTATATAGCAATAATCTTTGATCTGTAACAACATAGAAAACATCATATTTCATCGAGATAACCCATCTTGCCATAGATCTCAAAGACACGGCTTTAAATGGGTGTAGAAGACCTTCAGACTTCCTTACGCCCTATAACGCAAATGACGTCGTATCAAATTGTTATTACATTATTGTTATATCGTTTTTATTAAACTCCTGGGCAGAAGTTTAGGTAAAAAAATGTAAATAAGATATCAGTGCACTTGAGCCTTTTTAGACGTTGATCATATCAGTTATGCCATTTTAACAGATACACATAGCTGTAACAGCTTTTTGTAACAGGCGTTTTTTCTATATTACATTTGCGTATCTTTAACAAATCAAACCTGTTTCTTACAATGTCAAATCATAGGTAAAGAAACCACTTACGTTTCCATACCCTCTCCTGTCACTTTTATATCACCAGGAATTTCTCCCAAGAAATGTACTGTGTATGAATGACTTCCGTCAAGGACTACTTTCGGTCCATTCGTCTGGTCCATTTTCATACTCATTTGGGCGCTTGGTAAATCATCGCGCACGAATACCGCTCCTTTGTTATTCTTATTTTGCCTGAATCTTAGGTTCAACTTTAAAGAAAAAAAGAAGATATTTTAATGTAAAAAGAAAAAGAATTAAAATAAATGATGTGAAGAAAAAAATTGTCAAAATTTAGCCTTTAAATATTGTTGAAGCGTTTCTTTCACAGAATTATATTGCTTCTACGTATATGTTAGTGTTCATCCGTGCTGTTCCACAGAAATTAGAAACTTCGACGGTAGCGATAGGAAAAAATAGAAGTCGACTATGAACGGATTTCGATATAGTATCGACTTCTGTTCCTCTATGAAAATTAACGCACATATTTTTTAAGAAATACAGCATTTTCATTGAATGACAAATAAAGTTGGACACTAAAACAATATTTCAAGCAAAGCGTACTGAAATATTTCGGAAGCAAGCTTTTCGTTCCGATACGCACAAATAAGTGCTTGTAAAATGTGATCAATCTGTGATTTCATCATTAAAGTAGATTAATTTGTAGTTTAAAAATGATAAAAATAAATAAATACAATTAAATAAAATGAAAAAGTAAACTCACGTCGCCATATTTAGTCTCGCATATTGCAAGTCTCCAGTTAGTACGAATTCGGCAATCAGCAGCTGCAGCAGAGAGATGGTCCGGTCTAACAACATAGTACCTCTTAACACCTTCCGGTGTGTCACGGTACCAGGTAAATCCCATCACCTTTTGCCCGTCATCTTCCGGCCATCCAGCGTCAACACCATAAGATCCAGTAATTGCCAAGTTGCCAAGACCAGGCTGGAATTATGTAAACAAATGTTTAATTATTCAATACAACCGATTAAATATCCTTCAATGAAGAACAATGCAGATCAGATGAAAAGTTCTTTATTGAAAGGACATAATGCGCTGCGTCTCATCGAAGAAATATCGGACAGCAGGAAAATGGATGATGTCTATTGCATAGCGTATGTTGTCTTCGGAGCAATATGTGAAATACAATACAAATATATGATCTACATAACTGATTAATACTGGTTTTTGTTAAATATATTAAAAGAGTTATACAGTCCATAGTTTAAGGCAAATAATTGCATGACGTAGGATTTTCCATGAATATTACAATTATTAAGTAATTCTTAATATTTCATCCGTATCACATAACATCTTTCAAAAGTGCACCAAAATAGCGTCAAACCATGTTTAAATTTCATGATTTAAATGCATTTAGTCACGTGATACAACAAACTTAGACTTGTTTTCATATAATATACATTTTTATAATAAAAATATTATAAAGCTTGAGCCAAAGGATTGCTTAATAACAATCTCGCTAAGTAAATGTTTACAAATATATAACAACATGTTTTCTTCAAAGTGTAATATAGAAAAAGGATTATGATGTCATGGGAAACAACTTACACCGTCATCTAAAGCATACTGTATGTTTCTGTACTCGTTGGTCATAGGAAATAGATATGGTGATGGTCGTTTTTGGCCGATTGCTCCGGTATCATAAACATTATTCTGTTTGAATCCATCAAACCACAACTCGCTGAATTTCATAGGTCCGAACCACATCGTCATGCCAGTATGAGGTGTATTCCTAACATAAAATTATTTTTGATATTTCATCAAGAGTTTTAAAAAATGAACACCCAAAAAAAAAAAAAAAATTCAAGTAAGGACATGTTATGCCTAAGAAATGAATAACACTCTCTTCAGCAGGGAAAAATGTCTGTTCATAATTGAGCCGTGTCACGACAAAACCAACATAGTGCGTTTGCGACCAGCATGGATCCAGACCAGCCTGCGCATCAGCGCAGTCTGATCAGGATCCATGCTGTTCGCTTACAAACCCTATTACAAGTAGAGAAACTGATAGCGAACAGCATGGATCCTGATAAGACTGCGCGGATGCGCAGGCTGGTCTGGATCCATGCTGGTCGGAAACCCACTATATTGGTTTTGTCATGACACGGCTCAAATGTTCGGTAATGGATTTAAAGTATGTTAGATGCTGACCACTGGTAGTCAGTAGTCCTGAATGTGATTTTTTTTTAAATAAATGTAGCCACGAGTGTATAAAGTGGTATTTTGACTTCCATAAAAATACTCAATAACTATAATAATTATTTTTTGATGTTTACGTAAGCTTATTACCAAAGAATAGAAGAAGAAATAGATGATTCAGCTTTAAAATCAATGAGTACTCATTTAGAAATTATATCAGAACACAAACAGAGAAAAGGAAAAGCTTTCGACAAATAAAGAAAATAAAAGCATTTTTAGGCCTCATGGTCCTTTAAATTGAAATGCAGTAAAAGAAGGTGATTTTGCTGCCAATATTGTTATTATTGTGTGTTCAAATGGTTGGTTTTAAACCAGTTTGCACTAGGGCTTGTGTATGTATTTGTGGGAACTCTATGGCAAAGTTGTTAACCTCTCTGACTTCGAATCACTAACACGGCAGTGTTGTATGTTTGAATCCCTCCAGGGACGACGATTTTTTTCTTCATGTGAGGAGGTTTTCTAACTAACTTACAACAGGTCGGTTGCCTTACTAAGATGTCTGCTGCTGACAGAAATAATCAACCGAACATACAAGATTTTTTCTCTACCGGTTAAGTTGAAAACTAGAACTGTGTCCAAAGGACAGGGATCCCCCCACTGACAACATAAATATAGTATATAGTGAAAAAATCAACAAAGGGCCATAATTCTGTTAAATTTGGTCGCAGCAAAAATTCCTTCTTTAACACCATCTACACATTAAGGTTGTTCATCCTTGGGGGTTTAGGCAAAATCTGCCATCCGGTTTAAGAGGAGTTGCATTCACAAAATTTCTATATGGTATATAGTGAAAAAATCAACAAAGGGCCATAATTCTGTTAAATTTGGTCGCAGCGTAAATTTCTTCCTTTACTACCATCTACACATTAAGGTTGTTCATCCCTGGAAGTTTAAGCAAAATCTGCCATCCGGTTTAAGAGGAGTTGCATTCACAAAATTTCTACATAGTATATAGTGAAAAAATCAACAAAGAGCCATTATTCTGTTAAATTTGGTCGCAGCAAAAATTCCTTCCTTTACTCCCATCTACACATTAAAGTTGTTCATCCCAGGAAGTTTAAGCAAAATCTGCCATCCGGTTTAAGAGGAGTTGCGTTCACAAGATTTCGGGACGTACGGACAGACGGACAGACGTACGGACGGATGGACGGACGGACGGACAAGTGCAACGCTATATGCTCCCACATTGTGGGGGCAAAAAAATCATTAAATTCTTAAAATTGTCGGTTTGACAGAAAATTCAAATAGATTAATTTGATTTTGTTGTAACTATTTTACCGGTCCATATACATCGGAAGACTTCGGACGTCCCCTTCTTCCGGTTCACCAATATTCTCGGTGTCGTCCACGATCACTGATTTCATCAAGCGTCCAGAAAATTGATTAAGCAGCTGATCGCTGTAATAATATGAAACGGAAAAGCAATGTGAATAGGATAAATGTAACAAATTAGCAAACAGTTATATGAAAAGGCGAAAATATTTATTCATCAAATAACACTAGTCTATTAATTTCACTCTGTAAAGGAGATTATTTAAAACCTTTTTGATGACTGATCACTATCATTAAGTACCTATTATAAGTCCGCTTTTTTGTTTATTTATTTATCATTATTCTTTATTTATTTTTTATATTTTAACATTCATATGCCTTCATTATGCAATAATGAAATCCAAAAATACTTAATTGTCAAGACATTTTTGAAAAGAAATTAAGGAAGTTGTAGAAGGAATAAATCATGGCCTTTGTGTGTATATATTTTTTAATCTAACCGGGTATACAATATACCGTATGCTTATATTGAATATGTACATAATAATATATTACAGAATAAAGTAAAGAAATCAAAATCATTTTGAATATCAATGCATATTTCAAATTGCCAAATAAATCATGGCATCACTGACTTACTTGTGAACCATTATTCCATTTGAGCTGTCGGCAACGCTGAAAAAATAATAAAGCTTTGAAATAAATGGTTAAAGTAATCAAATACAAGTAAAATAATAATAATAATAAATATTTTCTCGCGCTTGTAACGTTCTCAATTACGCCGTATTGAGCGTTATTTAATATTTCCATTTTCTTATTTTTAACATATACATAAATATTATATGAACTTGTAAGTTTGTTTGCTGCATGTACTTTAACGTTTTCTATGCCCAGTAGTATAGTTTCAATACAATACAAAACAATACAATACAATACAATACAATACAATGCAAATCACTTAATTTTCAATTGTCACAGATTACATAATATACATTTAACATGTATCAAGCAATAACATGTGAACGAAGAGTAGCATAAATAATTAGTATGGGTAACAACATGATCAAAAATATTCTAATTAATTATTACAGACAAAGTTGGATTGCGGTTGGCAATTTATGGAGATATAAATTAGATTGCTAAGAAAATCCCAATGGTCTAATCATGCACTTTGTTTATTTGCATATGCGATTGACTTGTCAAGACAATGAGGTATACTAACGAGATGTGAGTCCAGTTAATAAGTCCACCCTCGGCCCATATGTTTAAACGACTGTTCTTGTACGCTGTTGTATAAATAAAAAATATGATTTTTTATACATTAAGTACAATTCCCAGGAGAACATCATGCATATTGAATTAACAAATAAACAGCATTTAATTTTATTTAATGAAAGGTTTGAGATTATTTAAGAAAACGAGCTTGTATAAATGAAAGTTTAAGTTTCATCAACACGAGTGTCCTTGACCTTATAACTATAGAAAATGCTATCTAAATTTGCGATTTTTTTGATGCTCGTTGACATAGCAAGCTAAAAGAATTGAGAAATTGAAAATGAGTCAACCTTTTTACGTTGAATTGCTAAAAAGTAAAGTTACGTTGATATATTTTTGAAACATGTTGTTTTTGCGAGTTTCTTGCATTTAGTTTTTCAATGACTATTACATGGTCTATATAAGAGAGACCGAAAACATTAAAAAAAACTTTTTTCCATTACTGTGTTGGGTCCGTTGGTAATTCGTATCAAATGACTATTTACATTTGTTTACACAAAATCGTAATTCTTTATGAAAACATTCAAACATCCGAAATATTTGTATTTTGTTATATTTTATTATAGCCAAGAATAAAATGTATATTTATTCACCTGTTAGTTTTGAAATAGTTATTTCAATAGGATCCGAATCAGGGTCTCGTGGATCAACTCTCGGTTGCCAATGGTTACAACACTTCAGCGTTCGGTCAGCTATCAGATGATTGCCAATCATGATTCCTTTCTATAAAACATCGTTTAAATCCATTGAAGCGAGGATTAAAATTGCTACTTTTGAATATTATAGGGACTCCTCTGAAGTTTTTTACCTGACTGGATTGAAAATAATTTTTCGGGATTAACGTTTCATTTGATGTAGGTTTAGACCAATAACTTGTGTGCAAAATTTTAAATCACAAACCATTTAAACAGTAAATAAAGATTCTTTTTACAAAAAAAATCATTAAAGCAAGACTCACGTGGTTGTTGCTATGGGCAACGTTGTTATATAACTGTGTTACAGGCGTACTTTTAGCCTCAAACAGCTCCATGGTGCCGAGACCTTTAGACGGCCCCATTGGTTCATCCGGAAATACGAACCATATTCCGACCCCGTCAGCACCGGCGGCAAAGTTGTTGACGAATTTGACATTTGGATTTGTTATCCAAAAGCTTGTAGGTCTAGATAAAAAAATAAGCATTGCAGTTGTTAAAAAAAGACAATTTAAAAAAAATACGAGTAACATTTGCTTTAGATTACATATATTTGCTGTAATTAACTACAATGTATATTTAAAAGCACATAGATAATTTATTATGTTTTGTTCTTGCATTACGAGTATTATGCAAATACTGCGTACTTGACTGATATCAATGTTGTTTTCTGATTCATAATAACAAATCTTTGGGGCTAATGTCATACTTTCAAAACAGCAAAATATCAATAGAGAAAAGAAACCAAAATCTACTAGCAATCAACAGAGATAAAGCAGTTTTACATTATGTCAGTTGGCTCTAAGTCTGCCGAGGCTTTCCTTGCTCCAACAGCCAGGTTACCATCAAACACTGTTCCCTTTTCACTGCCGTCCTCCATGAAATAACCGTGACCAATGTGATAGTAACAGACGTTATCAATCAGCTAAAATTGTATTTAATTATAGTATTATATATATTATATGATGACACAATAACATATGATTAATTTAAGTGAAAGCGATGACATGAACGAATGTTCAATACAATATGGTACGATACGATATGATACAGTGCATGGTGGCGATGCGATGCGGTGCGATACTTTGCGGTGCTGTGCGGCGCAGGGCAGTATGTACCATACAATAACATAATAGTAAAACATGTTGCATTGACGTGTAATGCAGTGCAGTGCAATGCATTGTTAGAAAGTACAGTGCAGTCAATTTCATCTAACTTCATGAAACATATAATATTAACAAATGAATGTTAACAATATGAAATAAATCAAACATGTATTTCGTTTTTAAAAAGTTTGAACAATCAAATATCAGATAAAATAAAACAAACATTTTCTATAAAATTTTACAAAAGCAAAATGAATGCAAAAATACAAATGAAAATAAAATTGTAATATAGTTTTGATTAATATATGTGAAGAACATACTTGAACTTCATGTGAGCCGTGAATTGTAATACATCTTGCGAAGGTATGATGGATAGACACTTCTCTGATGTAGGGAGGGTTAGAGCTGTCCGGGGGATCCAGACACATATGAAAGTGTAGGGGGTAACGACCTAGATCTGTGTGCTGGCCAACATTTCTCAGTTCGACTCCTTCTATACGTACACCAGCGTACCCGGCCAATACCTAAAACAATGGAATAACACTTTCAAACCAAAGAACCATTTACTAGGTAAACTGAGTTACCTTAAATTGTACTCACTGTTGATCCCTATTTACAAAGTATGTTAAACTGAACTGCAAACATATTATGAAATGCATTTTTTGCTTTCTGTTTAAATTGTAATTTATGTCCTAATTAGGAAATGTATAAACTACAAAAATGGCACGAGGACAAATCAATATGGTGGGAATTGCTGACTCAATTCTAGAACCCAAATTGCAAACAGTTCACTGTGTACAGTAAAGGGCACAGTCATACTTTACATTTAGTTGATAAAGTTACAAAATGTCAATATCTATCCAAAACTGGTAATGCACTGTTACAAAATAAAAGTTGGACAAACTTGTTCTGAGGATTCCTCGTATTATGATAGTTCACATTACCTTTACATGAGCTCCAAATGTATCCAAACCGTACACATATTTATCGTCACAGTTGCCGTTGCTAGGGGGACACGTGTCCTCCGTTTCACCCTCAATCACAATATTTCTACTGAGCAAGGCAACCTCCGCCCTCATGTCTATGGAGTTTCCCTTGATAACTTTACCGAAGTGAGTGTACTTGAACGGTTCTGTAATAAAACGTTCTCAGTTTTACAAATAAGAAGCAATAATAAAATTTGCCTGATAATTTTATAGAGAAGTATACTAGTATACATTCTAAATTAACGAATGAAATTTAAATTAAGAATCATTCCATTTGTGTTGAAGTACATGTTTTTAACATTATTTTCTCCCGAAATCAATCACTTGTGTTGATTCTTTACATGTTTTGTTGCATGATTTCCATGATTCATATTGATTCTTTAATTGTGAAATGCGAAAACCTGAAAGGTATGAAAAAAAAAATCAAACAAACAAAGAACTTGCAAATAAATTTTATACATGTATTTTAAAAACATTTTTGGATTATTTATCCATTTAGCGGGACTTGATTGTGTATTAAACTCTTATACGCGTGCCAGATTCAATCTTACCTAAGGATCGTCGATAGAAGAAAATAAATAAATTATTTACAAATGTATGTACAAAAAAAACAACAACAACAAAACCCACTTACCAGTGACTCTAATTTGTTGAGAACTGCACGAGTCACATTGAAAAACTGTCATTTCCTCAACCTGTCTCCAGTTATAATCTGTCGATGTCACAATTATTTTGTCGCCTGTAATGTTTTTAAACAAGATTTGTTTTTCCTTTCATACCTACAGTAATATTTCAGACTCAAGACAGCAATAACTGTAACATTTCGTTGTTTTTGTAATCCGTATTTGTAATCCAGATTACACTGATCCTCATAATAAAACCGAGAAACATCATTCCATAACGCCCCCCACCCCCCTAAAATCAACAACAAAAACACATCAAGTTTAACTCTGTATGATATACAGTACTTTAATATTACATGCAAACCAAACACATATCCTCATTGTAAAATGATACCAACCTGGAACCCACGATGTTGCGTCATCTATGACGTCAAGAAGTGGAAAAGCGGCGTCAATATTGCTTACTCTAAAGTTGTCGAGATGATAATAGAAATTAGGTCCTGACCCAGTCTCAGCAAAGAACACAAGATTATTGTTCCAAATATAATAAATTTTGAATCCCTGTCCAAGAGGTTTTGTGATCTCTACCAGACTGTCAGGGTTCCCTGAAAATTAAAAACCAGCAAGAAATGTATGTTTTATCATAATTCGTATGCGAAACGTGATTTTTTAAATTTGAAAAAGCCTCTAGAGTTATTTTGTCATCAGTTTTCAATTGTTGATATTTATATAATAAGTATTAAAGAAACTGGCTCCTTTACCAATCGGAAACTTATTAGTCGATAAATAGCGCACAAACGTGCACTTTTGAAAAAAATACATATTGTAATGTCCATTCAAACCCCCTATCTTTAATTTCAATAGGTCGATAATTAAAAATGACTACATTAAATAATGTTATTCATTAACTGTATGCTTTATTGTACAGTTAAAATTTCGGTAAATAATTAGCTTTTCTGTAAATGTTTACCTTTTTGGTAGATAAGACCGTAAGTAGTTCCATCATCCAGGACCTTGCGAAGAGTGCTGGCGTCATTCACCTCTCCATATAGAAGATTTTCAATTGCGTCATATGCTAGGAACTGTTTTGTATTCTTATATGCGTCATATCGATATATGAATCTTTGTGTTGATAACATTATGACGTCACCGTCAGCAACATCTAGCAGACGACATACAAAGCAAGGTATATTTCAGACACTGAACAACGATTTTAACAATTTGGCAGAAGTGTCGCATATTATCAATATTTATTCAATATCTATTAGCTGATATGTATTAGTTTTGATGGAGAAAAAAATTCAACGTATTAGAACTTTACAAATATTTCTAGGGGATTAAAATATGTGTCTATTTTTGGAAAACACATTTAACTCACTATTGATATGCGCAGCAAAATCCTCTCCGTCCCAAACCAGGTTGTACACTCCAAATTGTTTCACACTAGGTATTCCCGCATTGTCGATGGAAAAGGTGTATACTGCAAGTCCTTTCTTCGAGGCGTCAATATCAGCGTTTGTACTGGTCTGGGAAAACAAGAACAACAACAAATATTTAATCGTAACTAACGCTATACCAATCTATCACTAAGAATCACCCCGAGTATACGAATTTGTGACGTTCTACGACGACAAATGTTTCTATTCACACTTCAGGTCCAGATAACGGTCCTCTTTCTTCAAGAGGTCGCCACCAATTGTAACACATTAAATATATGTCTGTAATTCTACGAGGTATGATTGATGGCAGCGACAAGGTATTTCAAGTTAAGAAAGTTGACTGCCACATTTACTGGTTATTAATCTCTTTTATGATTTATCGAACTTTTATAAAAAAAAGAACAAAAACAACTTTCGTTTGATTATATACTTAAATAATATCACGAGAAAAAAATCAATAACGTGACAATATTAGACATTACCTTATGTTCGAAGTAAATATCGTCTGCGGAACTTGGTCCAACTGTTTTGGAAATCTTTGTCCAAGGGAGCTTACTCTTGCCGTGTATGTCAAGAGTTCCACCACTCTTAACGAGAATGGCCTTTGGGTGTTTCTCACCCGTGTGAGATTCCCGTGTTCCTATATAATCATACAAGATCATTAAATTTGCAGCATGAGACAATTTATATTCTATGTATCTGCTTTATGTACCATTATGTGGCATTTTGAAATGAATTTCGTATCTAACTAATTCGTGTTTCAAAATAATTTCTGTCATAAATGGCCGTGAATTTCATCTAAATATGCACTGATAATCTTGAACAGTATTATGTATTTTTTTATAATCTATAATTTGGCATCCATCTTGAAAACTATGTTAAATGTTACATTTTTTCACAGTGGTGGCAATACAAGTCTTCTACATCATTCAACATAGAAAGAACTATAATTAATTAATGTTAATAATAAGAAATAGGGAAAATCTAGATTTTTAATGGGTCGTCACCCGATCCTTTTTTATAAGGATCTGGATTTTTTAATCGGACTGAAAAATGTGTTCCATGCAACCGACACTTTTCGGTAAATAACTCTAGTTTATTGATAAAGTTTTGGTCGGACCCCAAAGTTCATTTGAACCCAAAGTGTGGTGTTACAACGCGCTACTACAATGAACACCAAATTCTCGACAGAAAAGAATTTATCCGAAAAAACTTGTTAGTTATTCTTAATATTCGTGATACAGTTACCGGGAATCAAACTTGCAGACTTCTGGATTCATGATTTGAAAATGGAAATAATAATTTGTTACATTTGAGCCGTGTCACGACAAAACCAACATAATGGTTTTGCGACCAGCATGGATCCAGACCAGCCTGCGCATCCGTGCAGTCTGATCAGGACCCGTGCTGTTCGCTTACCAACTCTATTACAAGAAGAGAAACTGATAGCGAACAGCATTGATCCTGATCAGACTGGGCGGATGCGCAGGCTGGTCTTGATCTATGCTGGTCGCAAACCCATTATGTTGGTTTTGTCGTGACGCGGCTCATTTGTTGAATTACCTGTCAGAGTAATAGTCAGGTCTCCATCAAAAAGACAGTCTTCACTCCCGAGCTCGAATGCACCTTCGATGTAAATATTTGCCACTCTGAGTGTGACCTTGGTAGCAGGGTCAGCAACGAGACGACCGCCTGTTTCTATGGTAATGTTGTATAGTTCAGGCGGTGACTCATCTAGCAGTATTGCCTCGGCAACAAACACGCTATCACCTTCCATTGGCTGAGGAAATGTATAGTTAATAATATATAATAAATATATGAATAAGATATAAATAAATATAATAGTTCCCGATAAATTCAGTAATACTATTGATACAAAAACATATGCATAATAACAAGGGGCTAGAATTCCCCAGTGAGTGTTAAAACAAAAAGATTCAACTCCATATAATGATTGAAGTCATATATATCGGATATTGAATGAGTGTATGTTCAATTTTGAATTTACTGAATATGATTATCAAAATTAAATAAGCGAGCCTTAAGTATGATTTTATTCAACGAGCATAATAAATTAAGTAATGAACCTACAGAAATACAATATTCTGTCTCTCATACTCAAAATAACTTTTTTCAGTAAACAAAGAATTACTTTTTCATTGATGCATTTTTGGTGTTACGCTGACATTTAACGCGTTATTACTCGCGTAAGAATATACGCACGATCGTGCAATACCATATTTTAGGTTGCATGTGTATGTGCTTAATATATTTGTGCAATCTGAATACTAGTTAACATTGTGAAATAGGGTTTAATAATGAGTTTTGATTTTGTCCTATATGCAGTTTCAGGTCAGTCTGTAATCATACTCGAAGACAAGCCATGGGTATTTTTTTATACAGTTTTCGTTCTGCCTAATAAGTATATCTCCAGCTGTAACTGTAGAATTATCTTTTTTAAATAAAACTAAACTTTCCTCATAAATCTATATGCATATATAGTAAATATAAACCTTGTTCGGTGCGTTCCACGTTGAGAGATCCGACCAACGTTTTAATCCGTGCCGTTCATGTGGACAAACTGCCATACAAACAAATGCAAGGCTGACCATGAATATAGCTCTGATCATGAGCATTTTACCTGCTTGTACTGACAGAAAAATTATTCCGGTCGTTTATAAAACTCCTGTAAAAAGAAATAGTTCTATTTTATACGAAGACCTGAAATTATTAAAAAAAACCTAAAACGACATATAAGTAATTAAACAGTCTTTGAAAAATTAAAAACAAAATATCTTCCTACCCCACCTAAAGAAAAAAAGAAAGCAGGCTTTTCCCTATTAACAAACAAAAAAATACGTTACATTTATTTTCAGTATTGAAGAAAAAGCATTTTTAAGCATTCTTTGAGTTTAATCTTAAAAAAATTTGACATACATGTATCTTATGACAAGTAATTTTTTTCTCTTCCAAATTCATACATTGAAATGGTTTACGTTAAACTGAATAAGACATTTCATGCGTTTTGTCCCCCAAAAATACCACGTAACTCATTCACAGATATTCAATTCACGTCAAAATTCCATTGTTAGTCGAATCACCTAAACCAATGTTTAGACAATACAGATGAAAATTTTACCAACCTTATACGAGTGACTTTAAACTAACTTGTATCTCATCAGAAGCTGTTATAAGAAGCTAAACGATCTAAAATGACAATCTCTTGCAGTGCCTCTTTATTATATACATTAATGAAACTGTTGTCTAATACATATTCTATAATTTGCCCACCTGTATCTCAAAACGGCGCATTTCTAAATTAGTTTCAACATTTGATTTAGAGTTACTACAACGTATCTTAATCAACTGATGTTATCACTAAGAACTAATTACTTCACTAGACGGTGATACAGGTGCATGGCTGGTTGTGTAGACAGACAAAACATCGGAAGTTATTTTTAGGCCAATTTACCAAAAGTGACCGCCCACCAATATTCTATTAAATAGTAAGATCAATAAATAAGAAAGATATAATAAATAGATAAAGTGATATAATTAATTAATTAAACAGAAGGCCATACGAGCTAATTAAAACATTTACAACTATATGATCGCAAAGATCCTATAAATTTAACAATTGTTATCTAATCATTTATCAACGTTTTGATTGCATTATTGGTCGTAAATATGCTATACATCGAAAATATAAATTGACAAAGTAAATGAAACTCAATGAGATGACTTTGGAAATCGTGTATAACCAATTATTCCTTTGGAGACAAATAAATATTTCGATAACGGTTTGTTCGAATTAAGCGTCGTTCTATGGCCGTGTGTGATAAAAACTTCATAAAAAATAACATTTTTTTGGACACACGAGAACCTACGGAAGCGTCCTGCACCGAGTCCAATCGTTCACTATGTTTCCCAGGCGGAGAACGCATGAAGAGATCAATTTTACAGGTGGAAAACCGATACTGTGGTAAGAAAGTTGTCTTCAATTTCTTTGAAAATGCATATTTCACAAAACTTTATAGCCTATTCTGATCTCGTATGATTACTTTATCCGACAGGCATCTCAAACTCGCCAAATCTTATTTTTTCTCCAAAAATACGAAATAGAAATAGAACAGGCGTTTGGTGGATGAGGATATGTTAATAAAGAACCTTTAGAGCGATACAAATGTTTAGAAGTTTGCTTGGATGTCAAGTTATTGGCTATCAAAGAGCGAATTTACCAATTTTGTGATTTTTCTTGTGCAGTTGTCGATAATGATCTAATAAGTTAACAAAGATTTGGCGAGTTTGAGATGCCTGTCGGATAAAGTAATCATACGAGATCAGAATAGGCTATAAAGTGCTGTGAAATATGTATTTACAAAGAAATTGAAGACACTTTTCTTACCACAGTATCGGTTTTCAACCTGTAAAATTGATCTCTTCATGCGTTCTCCGCCTGGGAAACATAATGAACGAGTGGACTCGGTGCAATTTAACATGTTCTTTAAAATAAGATAACTCCTACGTAGGACTTTATAACTCCTACGTAGGAGATAAAAAGCCTAATTAGGAGTTTATAACTCCTACGTAGGAGATATAAAAACCTAATTAGGAGTTTTAAAGTCCTACGTAGGACTTACAAACTCCTACGTAGGACTTTATAACTCCTACGTTGGAGTTACAAAAGCCTTATTATTAGTTTATAACTCCTACGTAGGCCTTTATAAATTTATGTTTGTGTAGACAGAGATGTTGCGGCATTTTTCAATCTATCAGTAAAGATGAACCATATCTTTAAAACATGAAAAATATAATATAATATAATATAATATAATATAATATATAATTAGTTTAAAAGAATAATTTTGAAATCAATCTACTGAACTTTAATTGTTCATAAAAATGCCTTATTTCTGGAACCGCAAGGTGTTATAGTTTGGCACCGGTATCAAGTCCGCACTATCTACATTTTCGTGCAGCCCGACCAGGCTCTATATTGTTAGTAAATCAATTTTCGAATTTGATATTGAAATCCCTTAAAGTTTGAATGGACTGTTCCAAATTCAAAAGCTAGGGAAATTCATTTGAACAATTTTAAAGGATAAGGGTTAAGTAGGAACTACCATAAGGGCTTTCTATTTTCTTATCGCCTTCATGATGGAGATAGTTAAATAATTTTATTTCTTAAACAGGATTTCCTGAAGCGACATGGCAAAGAAGAACGCTCAAGCCGCAGACGTATATACAAATCTAGCAGAATAACACCTATACCTTACATAATTCATTTGAACTTTGCATAATTTAGGATATGGTATAAAAATAACAAAAATAAATGAATAAAAAGGGATCAGTCAATCGAGGGTCAGTTACCTTGTTTTCGAGTTACCTGCCGTTAAATTTGAAAGTTTTATTTCAAAGGCATATAATTCATCAGGAAGAAAATTCATTAAGGATAAAATGAATGAAAACAAAAAAAGGAAAGAAAAAACAAAACCAAAAATACCCCGAAAAACATAAAGTATTTAAAGTATAAAAAGGTTTGTAAGTCTTATATATAACAGTAAATCAGATATAGTAATGCCATTGAATATCCTAGGGTAACAAAAATGTTCATAGGGAAATAACTCGAAAACGAGACTGTTTCGTTGTTATTATATCATAAGATCATGCATATTTTAAAAATATACTATGAACATTTTTGGGTAAAATACTTTTAATTACAGAAATTATTGAAATCTAGTAAATTCTTTCTAAATATGTCTAATTTCAATGAGTGAATGTATTAATCATGTTTAGAAAGCTGCATTTCCTATTACTTGTCAAATTATTTTGGTCTGTTCTTAAAAAAACTGCCAGTTTTTAATGACACTATATAATTATACCGTGATTACCTGTAGAATGAGCTCATAACGTAATATGTTTGCTCTGAGTGTATTCAAAAGATGATTATTTTACAATTTAAAAGAGATTGTACAGCAATTATTAATAGTAGTAGTAGTTGTTGTTTTCCCAAATTTCTAATTTGAGCCGTGTCACGACAAAACCAACATAGTGTGTTTGCGACCTGCACGGATACAGACCAGCCTACACATCCGCGCAATCTGCAATCCTGATCAGACTGCGCGGATGCGCAGGACGGTCTGGATCCGTGCTAGTCGCAAACGCATTATGTTGGTTTTGTCGTGACGCGGCTCATTTGACCAAAATTTTCCTATTGATCAATGTTGTTTTCTAATTTTTTCAATCTGCTGTATGTAACCTGAGCATTAATAAAATCGGTTTTATTCTGATGAATTTTTAAATCAGAAAATAAAATAATTAAGCACAAAACAAAATACCCCTGTACAACGCCCCCCCCCCCCCAAAAAAAAAATACAACATTAAAAAGCAACAACAAAACAACAACAAAAAGCAGAAACAAGCAATAACAAAATAATAATAATATAAAAGAAGAAATAACAAAAACAGCAAAAAACAGGAGAAATTTAAAGTAGAAATAAAATATAAAAATGATATCCTTACCTTTGAAGACTGTCTGTCGTGAAGTAAATGACTAATTGCAAACTAAAAGCAAGAGATTTTGTACTCTTGAAGACATTATTTTGAAATCAGATTAAATTATAAAACGGACATGATTTCACAGTATTTTTAATTTATTTCTTGCAATAAAAATAAATTATTTTTGGGTATTTGATTTTGTATATCTGTTTTCGTTAATCTGGTTTTATTTTATTTTTATTTTCTTAATCGTTATCAAAATACGATGATATTGCATTGTTAATTTCTCCCTGCAGCATGGCTATTATATCGTCGACAACATAACAGACGATGAATTGATAATCTTACATTGTATTAATAAAGGTAGATGGATAAGATTAGTAATTGACAATCATAAATATTATTATACTTATATTTATTTTACATTGACCGTGTTCGCGATTAGACTAATACCCACCAACACATACATGACATACCGCCTACATAACTTATACGTCGAATTTTATGATTTTTTTTTCTGCTGAAAATTGATTTTTACAAATGCACAAAGATATATGAAACAAGTTCTTCATTTTTCCTTATTTATATATGTGTTATTAAGCTATGTCTAGAAAAACCTTTTCAAATAATAATCACTTTTAATTCAAATTATTTGTCACAACGCAATGTACACAAGTCCTGACTTTATTATGTCAATTAACAAACAGATCTATACTTATGACCGATAAAAAAAGACCTTTTAATGAAGTGTTATTATTTATTTATAAATAAAGTCTCATCAATAAATAAACACACACACGCACACATACACGCATACATACATACATACATACATACATACATACATACATACATACATACATACATACATACATACATACATACATACATACATACATACATACATACATACATACATACATACATACATACATACATACATACATACATACATACATACATACATACATACATACATACATACATACATACATACATACATACATACATACATACATACATACATACATACATACATACATACATACATACATACATACATACATACATACATACATACATACATACATACATACATACATACATACATACATACATACATACATACATACATACATACATACATACATACCGCCTTCGTGG